AATGGAGACAGTACAAAGATCAGTGGTTGCCAGGGGTTATAGAGGTGGGGTGAGTGAGTAGGGAAAACACAAATGATTTTTAGTACAGTGAAAATACTCTGTAATGTACCATAATAATGGATATATATCACTATATCTTCATCCAAACCCACCAGGAGTGAACCCCAATGTAAACTATGGACTTTGGATAATAATGATGTGTCAATGTAGATTCATTTATTGTAACAAGCATACCACCCTGGTGGGGGATGTTGATAGTGGGGGAGGCTGTGCATGGGTTGGGGCAGGGGGTAAATGAGAAACCTCTGTACCTTCCTCTCAGTTTTGCTATGAATCTAAAACAGTCTTAATTTAAAAAATTAATTTCTTATTCTTGTTTCATATATTTTACTACTTTACCTCTTGAAGCACTTGAAACAGACTTATTTTTTTTTTTAAGATTTTATTTATTTATTTGACAGAGAGAGACACAGCGAGAGAGGGAACACAAGCAGGGGGAGTGGGAGAGGGAGAAGCAGGCCCCCTGCCGAGCAGGGAGCCCGATGCAGGGCTCGATCCCAGGACCCTGGGACCATGACCTGAGCCGAAGGCAGACGCTTAAAGACTGAGCCACCCAGGCACCCCGAAACAGACTTATTTTTTAAATGTGTCTTTTTATATTATTCTGTTGTTTCTATCTCCTCATATGTCAACCCTCCCATTTTTGTGGGATGCTTTTCTTCATATTGGACTTACTCAAATGTTTTGATTTGTTATACTAATGTTTTAATAATTTATATCCTTCATATTGGTCTTCCCCAAATGTTTTATAATTTTTGTGTGTGAGCTCACCCTCACTGGGAATAATCTTTCGGGTGTGGTGATGGAGGTGCCCCCGGTAGTGCCCCAGATGGTGGACACTTCCCCATAGTCATTTCTACCTCAATCTTAATGGTTCACAGTTTCTCAACTTTTTCCCTCAATTTCTATCTTAGAGTTTCTGTGCTTCATGAGCAGCAAAACCTTGGACCCCATGTACACACCCAGCTTGTTCTCTATTTTCTTATTGGTGATTCTCTTTCTACTTATGGCCTGGGACCTTTGCTTTATTATTTGCCATAATTCCTCTCCAAATTTCCTGCTGTGTTCAGGTCCAAAGTTTTTATTCTTGTTCCCCCATAGCTGTGAACTTAAAACAAACATACCTTCTGGCCACATGTGTATAAACCCTAATAAACTAGCTCACTGGGGTAGATATAGAATTATGGCACCCTAGAGATTTACCTGCCTTACTTTTGAGATCAAATATATATTTACATTACACAGATGATATATGTAATATATATATACTTTTTTCAGCATTTCTGTGTTCAGGAAATTTCACGTGACCTTGGGCAAGCTACCGAATCTCTATATACCTGGCTCTCTCATCATAAGACCATAGTGATGATTAAACAAGCTAATTTGCGTAAAGTGCTTAGAACTGAGCCTGGCCCAGAGGCGGCCAATAGATATCATGGTAATTATTCATGCTTCTGATCAGTCTTTTTCTTGATCAGGACTTTATATATTTCAAATGTTTGTTTGGGTGCCTGGTGGCTCACTCAGTTAAGGGTCTGACTCTCAGCTCAGGTTTTGATCTCAGGGTCATGAGTTCAAGTCCCATATTGGGCTCCATGCTGGGCATGAAGTCTACTTAAAACAAAAATCAAATGTATTTTTAAAATAACAATTATAATTTTTTTTTAATTTAAAACATTGAAATTCTTCTCCTCTCCCCACTCCCAACAGCAAGCTCAACAAAGGAAGTTATTAGATAATCTTAAAAGAAATTCTCTTGTAAGGAATTAAACTTACTACACTTCAGTGTTCAATTCCTGCCAATGCACATTTATAATCATCACTTTAAGATGCTTCTTTTATGATTATTAAGTCTATTAATGAGCTATCAAAAATTATCACCCAGAAAACATCACAAAAGCTTCTGGTCAAGGACATCCCAGGTCTTGAAAGGGATTTCTCTGTGTCTTAGTCCATTTGGGCTCCTATAACAAAATATCATAGGCTGGGAGGCTTATAAACAACGGAAATCTATTTCTCACAGTTGGGGAGGCTGGGAAGTTCAAGATCAAGGCGCTGGCAGATTCACCGTCTGGTGAGAGCCCTCTACCGTTCATAGACGGCCATAGTGGAAGGGCAAGGGAGGTCTCTGGGGTCTCTTTCGTAAGACTCTATAGGTCCCTCACAGGCAGAATCCTTGTGACCTAATCACCTTCCACAGACCCCAGCTCCTAAGACCATCACTTTAGGGGTTAGTTTTCAACATATGAATCTTGGGGACACAAACATTCAGTCCATGGCCGTCAGTATCATCCCAGAATATTCTTACAGCAGAGCAGTAGATGGTCATTAAAGAGTGCAGGGCTCCAATGTGTGCAGAATTGGAAAACCATCAAGACAACATAGAACAGTGTATACATGCTGTGGCCCCACCTAAGGAAAATACACAGGTGTGTGTTGGTGGGGGGGGGTGTGTGCATGCATGTGTGTGTGAGACAGAGAGAGAGATTGAGAGAGAGAGAGAGAGGTTGGGTACAGAGAGAACATTTCTAGACCAATACTCATGAAACTGTTCGTGGAGGTTATGTAAAATGTTTTTGAGCAAGAAAGTGACAAGATCAGGGCTGTGAGCAGACTCACATGGCATACTGAGTGGGATGGAGTGGGAAGGAGTGGAAGCAATTGAGCCAGGAGACCTGTTTAGAGGCCGTTGCTCTAGTCAGGGTAAGAACTGCTGGAGGGCTATTCCAAAGCAGTGAGATGGAGTGGAGGAGAAAAAAAGAAATTAGATTCACCTTCGAGATGCTCCCAGTGGCACCCCCAGGGCCTAGCACGGTATCTATACCTACTAGGTGCTCCCCAAAGATATGAAATAAATGGTCTCCCATATGAAAGATTTGACCAGTCCTCTCCCAAGACATCCACAGGCCACCTCAAGATGTAAATCCCACAGACCCCATCAACTCTCTTCACTCAGCCCTGGGCTCTGGGGAGCAGGGTCAGGAGATGGGGTCCATAGGCAGGTAAGGCTGCGGCCCAAGTTTCCCTTGTTTTCCTCTGGCCCTGCCCATCCAGGAGTGGGGAACCTGTTCCTGCTCAGCCCCTGCTCTCACTCCACCAGGCACCTCACCAACAGTCTGCTTTACTGCAGGCAGGGCTCTGAGCTGGGCGCTGGGGGTATATGTGGCAAGAGAGATGTCTCCAGAAAGCTTTGGGCCCACTTCCCTTGGGAACTAAGGGAAGTCAAGAAAAGTGCTAATGAAGAAGGGGGAAAGCATGCCAAGAAAATCAGATATAACCCTACACACACACACTCACGCACCCACATGCACACATGCCCCAGCTACCATAACACTTTGCACTTAGGACTTGCTTAAAACACGGGTTTTAAACGAGTGCAACAATGAAAGGAGAGTGAGCGGAGGAAAAGGAGTTGCAGAAGTGTAGCAGTTGAAGGGAAGATGATCCCGAAGAACAGGTCTTTGGCAGACCCTCCCTGCAACACCAGTGTCTATGGAAGCTCAGTGGGGAGCCTTTGGTGGTGGGGGACAAGGAGGGCGAGTGGGAATAACTGTATTTATTCTGGTATCTTCTGAGCCTAATGTGGGGTCTGGCTTATAACATCCTGCTCAAATGTTTGTTAAATAAATGAAGGGATGTTTGGATGGATGGATGGTTGGATGGATGGTTGGATGGATGGATGGATGGATGACAGATGGATAAGAGACTACTTCTACCTGGCTTTTAGAGGCCAAACTGAAACCAGTGTTTTGTGGCCATCAGGTGGCTGTGGTAGACAGCTCTTCAAAGATGGCCCTCAGCAATCCCTACCTCCTGGCGTTGGTGCCTTTGTGTAATCCCCTACCTTTGAGTGTAGGCTGTACCTGATGACTTTCTCCTAGCAAGTAGAGGGCAGCAAAAGTGATGGGCTGTTACTTCTGTGAGTAGACTACAAAAGACAGTGACTTCCATCTTCCTGGTGACGAGGTGTCACAGTAGAGGGGCCCATGAGGTGGCCTCAGGCCAACAGTCAGTGAGGGGCTGAGGCCCTCAGTCCAACAGCCCATAAGGAACTGAAAGCTGCCAACAATCTCATAAGCCTGGAAGGAGACCTGGATTACAGCCCGTGTGAGACCCTGAGTAGGAGCACCCACCTAAACTGTGCCCCAATTCCTGACCCACAGAAACTGTGAGATGACAAATGTGTGCTGTTTCAAGCTACCATGTCTGGGGTTAATTTGTGGCCAGCAAGAAAGAGCCAATATAATGGCCGATTTGAGTTTATAAAAATGAACATTCTGGCAATTAGGCTTGGCAAATGATGGTAGTGGTTAAGAACCCAGCTTCTAATACCAATTGGCCTAGTTTGAATCCTGGGTCCCCAGCTTACTAGCTATGTGAACTTGGGCAGGATGATCAACTTCTCTAAGCCTCTGTTCCTGTATTCTTAAAATGGGTATAATTCTCTGCTCACAGAGATTACACAAGGATTACATAAAGTGCTTAAATAAAGTTCTTAGCCCGGTACCCGTCGCCCAATAGAAGGTAGCTGTTAGCAATAATGATAATCATAGTAATGGGGCAAGCACCCTCACAAAGCAGCGGGTGTCCCACAGCTGGAGGTGACCAAGCTGAGGCATGATGGCAAGGTGCAAGAAGTGCATGGAACCCTAGAGGACCCCAAGCCCGTTCCCAAGCCTCAGAGTCGAGTGCTGTGTGGCTGCCTGGCCAGTGCAGAGGGGTGAGGGGTCGGGTGTGCCAAGGGACCATCGGGGTTACCTTGTACCAGGGTTTGGTAACAGCTATTCCCCGCCTTGACCATGGGTGGCTCCTTCACTCCTGCATGGCCTCTGGGTCAGGTGTGTGCAGCCTCCACCCTGGCTGAGCCCATAGGGCCCAGGAAGATAAACACCCAGGCAGGAAGTGATTGTCATGGGCATGGGGCCAGCTCTGGGCCGAGTCGGGTCTGAAGGTCAGGAATGCTTCCTCGGGAGCCTTTTCTAGGAGAGGACAAAGCACTTGGCTGCAGGCTCTCTGGGACGGGGTGGAGGGCGCGCAGATCTTGCTGGGGACACGGCAACCTGCTCGGGGCGGGGGGGGGGCCGGACAGGACAGAGGACAGGAGAAGAAACATCGTCCAGGGGGCCCCATCCCCCAGGAGCACCTCACTGGCAGGTGAGCAAACAGTTTTGGTATTCTTAATGAAACAAGATGAAATAAGAGAGGGAATGGGGGTTGTGGCCGGATTGGAAAGACCCCAGGCAGGTGTGTGATGGAAAAGGAGACCACCACGCATCCACTCATTGAGAAAGAGCCCCAAGACAGAATTTCACTGTGGAGGCCTGAGTCTAGTCTTGGCTTCACCATTCCCTGCCGGGACTCAGTTTGCCCATCTGTGAAGTGGGGTAATGATCCCTTCCAGGCCCCTCTCCTGTCAAGGCTATGGGAACCAGTGAGATAACACACAGGACTGGCTACATCATTGGCAGGGCCCCATGCAAACTGAACACGTGAGGCCCTTTGTTCGAAATTGGTTAAGAATTTCAAGAATGAAGAATTTTTAAAAGTATTAAGAATGGCAACAGCAGAGCGTTAAACCAAGCGAAGGGCCCTTCTGAGCGCGGAGGCCTGTGTGCCCATGGCTCCAGCCATAATAAAAACCGTATATATGTAAACTGTAAAGTGCCAAACAAACTGTGATTACTATGTGCCACGGCTCAAACCTCAGGGTCAGGAAGCACACCGGGGGACCGGACGTCTCCGTCCCGGAGTGACAGTCGCCCGCGGTGCTGCCCCTGCGCCTCAGGGTCCCATCTCAAAAGGACAAAAGGCCCAACCCCTGGAACCTTCCAGACGCGTACACCTGCCTGGCATCAAGCCAAAGCATGGTGTGACTCACATGTTGGGGGACGCGCTGCTCTTGGAGGCGGCGGGTGGGCTCTCCTTTTCTATCTTGATTTAAAATCTGGGATGTTCGCATAGTTACTGGCAAAGCAGAAGTAGACTTGGGGCTCCTGGCTTTGTGACCGTTCTGCCGTGTTCTGCTGACGACCCACCCGGTTTTGTCTTTTGGAACAATACTCAGGTTAAGGCAGTAAGACCGTTGATGGGAATGGCCCGAGCCCCTGTCACACCTCTGTTCTCCCCTCCCCTCTCCGGGTGCCACTCTGACTTTCTCTTCCATGTTCAGTGCTGCCCGTTCTCTGGTGCCCTTGGCATTGCACAGCGTGGAAGCGGTAGGAACCAGCGTCTCCGGGGGTATCTTACGCTTTCTGGGAAATCAGACAACAGACCATCTCCCCAGCCCCACTCTCAACCCCTCCCCTTCCTGGAGTCCAAAGTGTTGTGTCTGGCAAACTCCTCCTTTACAGAGGACCCCCACGGGAAAGGCAGGGTGACAGCAAGGTGGTGGGAGTCAGGGGCCACACCTTTCTCCCCATGGCCAGAGATGGAGGAAGACAATTGCTTAAAGAACTCCCCCTTGCCTGTGGGAGGCCTCTCTGGCCTCAGCGGGGGAGCCCAGGGCGCTTCCACCAGTGGACAGACCAGCCCAGAGGCTCAGCGGAGGCGAGTTCTAACAGCCCACGCGAGCCTGCCAGCCTGACACCAAACATCGCCTACTCAGGGCCCTTTCTCCAGCTCCACGAGCGCGTTGCCTCCCCAAGTAAGGATACTCCCAGCACCACCACAGAATGGCACAATTCCTTCCTGTATTCCTTCATCAAGTAATTGTGAGCAGCTTGGGCAAGTGAGGCTTGGCAGAAGGGCTGGGGGCACAGATGGGACCAGGGTGGCAGAGGAGAACCAGAACCCCAAGGCCGGGTTAGGGGCCCTCCCTCCATGAGGGGGGCACAGAATCCCCTCCTCCCTCCAAGGATGGTTACGGACTGTGGGACCTAGAGGCATTTCGGCGGGCTGAGCCATGGGGTTATATCTCTGAGCCTTGCGGCGGTTGCTTTCCAGAGCTCCCCCTGGTGTCTCAGGGAGCTGCTGGGGCAGAGCAGCCTGGGCCTCAGGAGGAATTACTTTTCTCATCACCTTGGGTTCACCTTCCCCCACTTTTGGAGCTGTGGTCTTCTGCACATAGAGGAAATGCCCACAGAAGATGACAGCCTGCACCCCTCTCCCTGGTCGGTAGCAGTCCTCGAGTGTCCCTGGGAGACCCCACTGGGTCAGGGCAAAAGACTGAGCACTATAGAGGGGGCGTCCGCCTGGAACGTTCCTTAGTGGGTTTCTTTGGGAGAAGAGCTCAGGTGGCTAATTAAGAACCTGGGTGTCTGGGAACCTGAGTCAGGCCATCTCTCAATCTTTCTACCTCCACTGGCCTTGTCTTAGGGATGGGGGGAAAATCACGTGTTCGAATGAAGGTTGGGGCGATTATCAAAGGGGTATCAGGGAAGCCTGCATGGAGGAAGTGGCCTCTGAGCTGAGCATCATTAAACAATCTTACATCACTTCTTAATTGTTTACAAGAGGAGAAGAACTAACGGGTATGGTTTTATGTATTATAAAGTAAGGCTCTCTAACTTGAAAATAAGGTAATATTTTCATGCTTACCCTATTTGAATGATCCAAGTCCTTCAAAGAGCACACTTTCACAGAGAGCGTATTCGCAGGTGGAGTGGAAACCCTGTAGGGCATGGGGACAGAAGAGGCAGAGACATGGACCATGAGGGGAAGCAGGAGGCCCGTATAAAGCCTGCTGATGGGATGGGTTTGCTGGAGCAGAAGGAAGGGGGAGGGAGGTGGCCTGCAACCCAAGATGCCTGGACCCCAAAGCCTCCTGGAGATCCCAGTGGGGGTCTGTATGGCCAACCCACCTCACGGGGAACTCACCCTGCTCTCCTGTACTCCAGCACTAGCTGGCTTTGCCTCAGTCACCTTCACTTCTGACTGGAGGCTCATGCACCAGCACCAGCGTCTCCCATGGCTAGAAGCTCTGCCCATTTATTATCCAGATCTTTGATGAGTTTAAAAATGGGGCGCTGATTCATTATTATTTAATGAGTATGTTTCCTCCAGAGAGAACAGGCTCTCCAGAGAACAAGCAGCTTGGATGATGCCTTCAAAGGCTCAGAAACGCTTGGGAGCCTCTGGGGTAGGGACCAGCTGGGAGAAGGGAGGAAGGCAAGCTGGTCTGAGGACCTTGACCCCCAGGTCCTGTCTGGAAGTGGTTCCCTGGGGTTGACTCAGGAAGCATTGCTCAATCCTGAGTCAAGTTTATATGACGTCCCTGTATCAGGGTTTCATTCCATCACGGCACTGAGCTCCTGGCACGCTGACTTCTTCTCACTTTGTGCAGCCAGTCAGTGTTTGCCGCACGCCCGCCCGGGGCAGTGGTAAGATGTGATGAGATGGACAACCTCCCACCCCCCCACCCCTTTCCCAAGGCCCCTCAGCTCCCTCCACCCCCCATACTGCTGTCCAAATAGGTAGGTTAGGAAAACGCAATTTCTCATTCACAGCTGATTCACTGTTTGGGGGTCCCTGAGCCCAAACAGATTCCCATTAAATCCCACTAATGGGACAAAAAAACTTCCAAGTATTTTAACTTTATAAAACCCTGACATAATGAGCTAAAATCCACTCATGAAAGTGAGTATATCTATAAAGATATATTTTTTTCTCTCATCTGAGTGATAAAAACATTCCTTGGTAGATTCTTGAATGCTGGAGGAAAGCCTTCTTTTCTCTCAGTTCCTTTTTAGGAAGTTAGCTTTGAACTTTAAAACGATTGTAAGGTTTTCTGTTTCTGGAGTAAAAAAGCATTTGGCACAGGGACAATTTTTCCTGGTGCCTGAGATATCAGAGCCGGTCTCTGGAACATGCTTTCCACGGGGTTCTGGCCTCTTTGGAACCCGTTCAGAGTCAAGATCAAAGTCATTCGCAGTTGGTGAACTTGGGTTCCAAGTCAAGGGTGAGACATGGAGAGATTCTAGCTCGGGGTCACGATGAAGCCATCATGATGTTCAATCTAAGATAAACAGGCCCACCTAGCCTATGTTTGGGAAAATATTATTACGGCTGATTTGTGTATTCATTGGAGAAATATCACAGAAATTGTCAAAATAAAGGAGCATGGGTAGATGTGACCACATCTAACCTTGGGCCCCAGGCTCAGTCACTGTCTACTTTTTCTCTCTCTCCGAATTGTCTATAATCTTCTAAGGCTGTTTTCTCAGGAAAGGCTGTTTGCTTTAAGTCAGAATGTCCTAAATTCAAGGTGGTCCTCACCCCTAGTTTAGAAATCATGCTCTCTGCCAGGGCCAGGCTGCCTCTACCACATGCTGGCTGTGTGACCTGAGCTAAGTCAGTGAACCTCTCTGAACCTCTACATCCTCCATTGTACAAATGGGGGAAATGGCACAAGGACAGTAACGATCATTAGGATTGTCCTGGGTGTTCCATGAGATGATGAATATAAAGGGCTTGGCTTTCACTGTTATTATCCCAGTCGGCCTAGAGGATAAAAAATAGATCCTCTTTTCCAGGATAAACATTGACCTTAAGGAGTAGAGAATTTATCAGCTCACACTGAAAATTGAGCACTAAGCATGAAAGTGTACATAGAACCCTCAAGTGTAAAGAGAACTGGCTTCTGCTGGCCAGTTCATCCAACCTGCTCCAAGTGCTCTGAGCCTGGCCAGCTTTGGGAAACTCCCTTCCCTGCATGTGCCATTCGGGTCTGCCTCTCGTCAGCTGGGGAGACTGCACACCCGCCCAAGGTGTCTGCACATTGGACCCGATGATGATTTCCCTCCAGTGAATATTTCTTGGTAAGAGAAGGCATTTTTTTTCCTGGCACAACCACAGGGCTCCAATTTTTAAAAACGAGTCTGATCACTGTTGGCATGGAAAGAATTTGAGGAAATCAACGATGGATGAACCTCCTAGACATAGGGCTCCATCTGTAAGGAGAGCATATTAGCTTCTCGTTGCTGCTGTAACATGTGAGCACGTACTTAGTGACTTCAAACAGCACAGATGCACCATCTTCCAGTTCTGGAAGACAAGAGTCCAAAATGGGTCTCCCTGCACTAAAACCAAGGTGTTAGCTGGGCCACTTTTCTTCTGGACTCTCTGGGGGAAAACGTTTCCTTGTCTTTTCCAACTTCCAGAGGCCACCCACATTCCTTGCCTCGTGGCTTCCTCTTCCATCTTCAAAGCCAGCAACG